GTGATGGGTTTACACAATCCTCACCTAATGTGTGATTTAGCGAAAACACACATACCATCCAAAAATCAAACCAGACAGCAAACATATTACCTTGATTGAAATTAACATATAATAATAATTATAACTGCATGTAAGATTCAAATCTTACCAGAGTTACCATTCCAGATCTAACCATTAGGCTATACTATCCCACATCTTTGTTTGCTTGATACCTCAATCCATGTCTTGTGTCTTTATTTTTCTGTGTTCATTATGGTATTTAATACTGTACTAAAGGCCATACTTACATGCAGTGTGCAGCGGTCAGCACCCAACAAGTCTTGATAAGGGTGCCTCCACAGATGTGTCTGTACTGTTGGCTGGATCCTTTAGGCTTAACCTGTACAGATACTTGCCATGGACGGGCTCCAGGAATAGCTTTAAGACCCCCGTAAATCCGGTTAAGTTGTTTTTTCGGATTGGGTTTACCACAGGTAAGAAAACTCTTTGTTGAAGTGTTGTTCTTAGGTAATGGGGTTGGTGGGACAGGAGTAGCTATTTGGGCTGAACTGGTGCTCTCTGGGGTTATGCTGCCATCTGGTAGGTGTTCAATAAACAAGAAGTTAATATTAAGTAACTTAAATTTTAGACATAATATTGACAATTAAGGCTTGAATACACTACATGACTTTTGCCCTGATTTGCAGTCTGGGGGAGTCAAGTTGCTGAAAGTTGAAGACAGCCTACAGTTTTTGGGCAGTTGGAGTTGATCGATTTAACAGAAAATGGCATAGTATTATGGATACAGACTGATTTCTTTTTTTTTTTAGCTTAAGACTGAATCTGTCCAGCCAGAAGATATCAAAAGCACATATTGTTTTCAAATGTCTCATTTTGTCCTGCCTGAGTTTGTTGTGTTCGGAAAAACTTGGAAGGTCTGATGTGTGATCCACACATTGAATGAAGGCCACATTTCCCCAATATGTTTAAAGCAACTGCACCCTATATCAGTGTTTTGAACGAATTGGTTGAATAAATGATTCAGTGATTCACTCATAAAGACAGTCACTTGTCACTAGTGTTGGAGGTAACACATTACAAGTAACGCAAGTTACGTTATCAGATTACTGTTTTTCAAGTAAGTAGCACATTACCTTTTAACTTACAAGAAAATATCTGAGTTACTTATCAAATAAGTAACGCAGTTACTTTGTTTTCCCATTTATTGACTAACAGCTCTCCTGTTCCCATGTCCACGATCACTGGAGAACTATATCCGAGAGTATTTAGCCATCGCTCACTATTCTGAGTTACCGGACTGTTTATTGATAGAGTTTTTCTGCGATGGCAATAATCAACCTCTGAGGGCTAAGCTTAGACGTGAGGGTCCACGTTCATCACTCGCTCAGTTCATGGATTATGCTTTGTTGACTCTCGGATCTGTATTTACTGTGGGTGTCACGGAGGAAGAACGCGACACAATGTGTGTGACTGAAGTGGTGGCTGTACCAGAGCACGCTCACAAAATGGCGGCAGCAGCGGAGCCTGATCGCAAGATGGCGGCCACACTAGAGCACGCTAACAAGATGGCGGCGACAGCAGAGCACACTCACAAGATGGCGGACACAACCGCATCTAGTCAAGTCACGGTGGATCATCATGAGTCAGGTCAAGTAACAGTTTATTATCATGAGTCTAGTCAAGTCACAGTTGAT